TATAAAGACAGTACAAGTTAAAATATGTGCTAAAAATATAATTTATTGGAACTAAGCTGGAAAGAACAAACATGAAGGTCAACTTTAAAACATGAGGTAAAGTTCTCATTTTTTAATTTAATTGGTGCAATTTAATTGTATTTATTTATTGGTTATTTATATATTTCTGCTTTTATTTCTAGTTATGTCAGTTTCAGTCCTCCATACAAAACCAGCTGCTTTGAGACACCAGAAAAGTAGTGAAAGAGTGGCTGGTAAAGTTAAAATAAGGAGGAATTCAAGCCAAAGTATTGTAGTTGCTCTTTATAAAGACCCCAACTGAATGATTTAAATGTGAAAAGGAAGGATTTCCTCCTGTCAAGAGGTAGATGAGGAGTTGGATGGCACTTTTGTTTCTGCATTAGAAATATAGGTATMAGCTGGCAACACTAGCCTATTTTTTTATATAAATATTAAAACAACTATCTCTGTAAACACTAATATTTCTTTAGACAAATGTTAAAGATTTAAGTAAGCAAGTTCTTGCTTCATATTGTGAATTACAAAACAGAGAAGACAGTAACAAACATTTATCTAAATGTTTATTTTGTAGTTCTGATAAATTTCAGTCAAATCTCTAAAACTAAACTTTTCTGAGAGCACCACATTGATTCGTCCTCCAGTTTCCTGCCTCATGTTTAGAGAACCAGTGTGTAATCTGCTCCTGCACTTTGTAACATTAGCTAAAATCACTTCCTCAGGTGGATAAACTCATATTTGTTGATTTAAATGAGCCAAAGTTCTACAGAGGAAGAACGAGGAGGATCAGCCTGAAGCAGATCTCTGAATCGGACTAAGATTTCATTTTATGATCCTCAAATAGTCCTGAAGCAGGCAGTTTCTGAGCTCAGAAGGTTTTTTTCAGCTCACTCGACGAGTTGAGAAAAGTTGTGGTTTTTCCTTCTTCTTTTGCAAGTCGGTAAAGTTGAACAAAACATCCTGATTAATTCGACGTGAACTCATTAGAATCTAAAAATGAAAGAATAAATTTTGATCCATTTGTTAGTTTGCACCACATCAGTGCACCGGCACTCATTTCTAACTACTCCGTTCTCATTTTTCTGATGAGATGTTTTCATTTTATAGTGATTCTTCATTGCTTGACAAAAATAAAAACAATACGACAAACAGTCCCACTATCTGGCATGAAACTCGGATTTCAGTTTGCTCATCTGTTGATGAATCAGTTTATTTGTTAAAAACTACGTCCCGACTTTTTCCAGTTTTCACAAGAAATTGTTGTTTATTGAATAATACCGTCAGCGCGTTGTCATTCTCACGCATGCAGTGTGTGACGATCCTTTCTCATGCCTCTCATTTAACTTTATTTAAATGAGTCTTGTTTATGTTCATGTGGCGGCTCATGTGCCCACGCTTTT